AAATAAAAATCCAGGACAGTAAGGTCGGGAGACCTCGCCAGCCAAGAGAAAATGCTGTTCCGACCTATCCATTTATCCGGAAACTGCATATTTAAAAAATTCTGAACATTTCGAGCATAATGGGCTGGGCATCCATCTTGTTGAAACCACATGTTGATTCTGTCCTCCAGAGGAATATCTTCTAACAGTATGGGTAACTCGCCTTCCAAAAATTAAAGATAAATTACGCCATTTAAATGCTGATCAAAAAAATATGGCCCAATAATTCTTCCACCCAAAATCCCGCACCACACATTCACGCTCCATCGATTTTGAAATTGAACTTCCCTTAACCATTGTGGATTTGTTTCAGACCAATAGTGCATGTTATGAGTATTAACCGAGGTATTAACTTTCCCTGAACTGCAAAAAGTGGCCTCGTCAGTCCATAATATTTGAGATAGAAAAGTTCTGTTTTCGTTCACCATACCCAACAGCCAATAACAAAAGTCCAGTCGATGGTCGAAATCGGCTAGTTTTCATTCTTGATGTAAATTCACATGGTACGGATGTAATTTATTGTCTCTTAATATACGTTGAACTGAGGAATATGTCAATCCGAGATCTCTTACCAAATCTCTTATGTTTAAATGAGGGTCGGCAGTAATATAAGCTAACACATTTATAATATTGACTTCATTTCTTGTTCTCCGTACTCTATTAGGGGATGTCCGGTTTCCTTCAATCGTTTAGCTAATCTTTTGAAAACATTTCTTGAATGATGACGTCGTGCAGGATATCTAAATGCGTATTCTCTTTCGGTTATAGCGGCATGTTGAAGACATTCAAAATAGACTGCTAACATATCAAAAGCTTCCTCGTTCGTATACGGCATTTTTTGAACTTCAAATTAGGTTCTTTACAAATTCGAATGTCAAATAATAAACTGTCTATTTGAGGAAAATCGGCGTTTCCATAGAAACTGTCTACCAAGTGTTTTCACGGCTTTCTAAGAAATTGGATATATTTGAATTTTAATACCTACGCTACTAACTAATAGTAAAGTTTTTGAATGACATTTTTTTTTCGTTTTTTTTTATTTGTTCATGGCATGCTTGTCTACGCATATTACAAAAAAAAATTGAAATCTCAATAAAATATTTTGTTTCATCAATAAATTCGTCAATGAACTATTCTTTGAGCCATAACTTTTAAACAAATGAAGATATCGCCATGCGGTTTGGACATGTTGTGTTGCAAATTTTATCTACTTTCGGAATCTAATAAAAAAATCATACGGTTCCATTTAAGATTTCGGAGGAAAATTGAAAAAACGGTTAAATTTATAAAACACGCCCCCTATTGAGCGCGATGATAACCAGAATGGCATAGATGGTTTTTTAATTTGTTCACCAAGCCTTCCTTTCACGAACAAAACCTTGTTAGCAAATTTCCGATACGTCAAACTAAAGTTATAGACATTTACAGTCCAAAAAGTTTAGCATTCCCTCCCGCCTTCATTTTACGTCCTACAATAAAAATCTATTCAACAAAAAGATGGACCATTAGGATGACATTGACGTGAGAGTATTCATTTCTAAACTTATATTGGAAAAAATTCGAAAAAATTACATTTTTCATACGATCGAAGCTATTACGCCCCCTAGCGGTGGACGTATGGATTCAAAAAATATTTCCAGCAGTTTTTCTTGGTCGATTTCCTCGAAAGAATTTTTTTCCCAAACTTCTACGACTATTAGTTCCTGAGATACAGTACCTCGTCACCCTTATTGAATCACCCGGTACAATGAAATTTTCAGAAAATTCTTCAAACACGACATTTTTATGAGTAGGCAAATTTTTTTTTTTTAAATGAGGGGTGGTCCGGATTAAACGTCTTCAATTTAGACAGGTCTTCCGAAAGCCTTGCCTCACGTCGCATTATTGAATTCATACTGGCTCGATGGTCATAGCTTAAGGGCATATTCCTTGAACAATTTCAAGTCGAAAGTGCCTTATACACTTTTGTATTGTATTGTTTTTATTATGTTCACCTGTGATGGTGTATACCTCTACTATACTGAGTGTTCCACTTATGACTATCCACCCTCGATTACTATAAAATATGGTTTCTACAAAAAACAACGAAACAAATCAAATTGATATTCATCATACATGTTGTGGTAAAAATTCTGGATTGAGAAAACCTAATCACGATTAAAGGTCTATGAAAATAACAAGCTTCCATCGTTCAAGTTAGAACCCCTTGATTGGGTGAAAGTATTGAGAAGGAATATTCTCAGATATATTTATGAACACAAAAAAAATTGATATATATACCTACAGAGTGACCCATTTGAAAGCGGGCCACCCCTGTATCTCACGTAATCGTTGGGTAAGGATCATGAAATTTGCTGGAGCGAGATATATACCAAAAATGCACTCTATAACCAAGTGGGGTAATCTTCAGTGATATACACTGCTCGCCAACAGCCATGGAACCACCCCAATTTCCTGAAAATGATATTAGGAGTCAAAATAGGTTGAAAATCACTTCGGATTCGGAATCAGGACGCCCAATTCACTAACTATTCATATTTTTCCTTGAAAATTTTCAGTTCTGAAACATTACATTTTGTCGCACTTTTCATGGAAGCGCACCCCCGTATCTCACGTAATTATTGTGGTAGGGTTCTAAAATTTGCAGGAGGAACGGAAAGTCCAAAGATGAAGTCAATTACGTGAGATACGGGGGTGCTTCCGTGAAAAGTGCGACAAAATTTAATTTTTCAGAACTGGAAATTTTCAAGGAAAAATATGAAGAGTTAGTGAATTGGGCGTCCTGATTCCGAATCCGAAGTGATTTTCAACCAATTTTGACTCCTAATATCATTTTCCGGAAATTGGGGTGGTTCCATGGCTGTTGGCGAGCAGTGTATATCACTGAAGATGACCCCACTTGGTCATAGAGTGCATTTTTGGTATATCTCTCGCTCCAGCAAATTTCATGATCCTTACCCAACGATTACGTGAGATACAGGGGTGGCCCGCTTTCAAATGGGTCACTCTGTATATAAAGAAATACATTGAGAATTCGCATTCTCTATGTGATGCAAATATCAATTCTTTCTCGGTTTATTCAACAGAAAACAACTACTTTCCTGGCTATATGCCACGACGAACATTGAATTATACCTATCGAACACACACGATAAGAATTTAAAAATAAAATTTCTCTTTCAGATAAAAATATGTATGTGCACATTAATATATCATTCTGAATGTTCAACAGAAAACAAACTACTTTCTTGACAATTTGCCACGTCATACAGTGAGTTTATATCTGTTGAAGTTGAACATCGAAAAAGAGAGCATGAAAAATAAAAATCCGATGAAATTGAGAATTAATACATACTTTCTCATATCGGATGAATAATATGATGTGTTATGATTTAAAAATATAAATTACCAGAAACAAAAACAACCAGATGACAGGGATTGAATGTCAACAAATAATTCTCAGATGTCAGTTCGTTATAGTTTTGGTTGAGACGTTTATAATTAGGAATTATAAACATCTCAGTTTTGGTTATATTATAGAGAAATGAAAATTATGTATATCATGAAGTATGGCTAAAAAAATAACTTAATGCTTAATACTTAATGCTGAACAGATCAATTATCTTCTGCAGAATGCTCCTGTTGAAGGTAATTTTTCAAATAACATACATACTCAACATCTCCAATCATAATCTTCCGCCCTTCTAGTCTTCTGAGGTGAGGATAAGCTATTTTATGGAACCAGTCTGAAAATATATCACCATCGAACCATCCATTTTTACTACGATTATAGCAACTCCCAGGAGGTTCATTCATCACCCATTCGGGATACACATTCTTCGCCTGATAGACGATATAAAGCGGCAAAAGGGTTCCGTCGGCCGCTGCACAAAACATGACTGAGGTAGATGATTTTGTAAAGTCTAGGATTCTGGATGCATGCTTGACACCCCTACGAACAATAACACGTTGTCTCCCGGGATCATCCGTAAGGTTGGATTCATCATAATTAATGATGTTTGCAGGTGGGACACCTTCAATTGAAGTGTGGAGCTCATTGAAATACGAGTTTAATGTATCAACTGTCAAAGAAGGTCTAGCTCTCTTTAAGTTCTCAGATGCTCGTACGGATAACTGAGGGTGTCGTTGCAGGAATAACTCAACCCAGTCATCGCCTGGTAAATTGTCTTTGAACTGTGCTATGTTTACACCCTTGCGATTTAAGTATCCTTGAGCGAATGTTTTTATGTCATTTTCTGTCATCGGGTAGCCAAAACTTGCCGCCACTAACAAACCGTCGCTTAAGGCGTTTTCTTCGGCTACACTAAGAATTGGCGGTCTGCCAAGTTTGTCTCCATGTATTCCTCTATATTTTTTGTACAGGGTTGCAAAAGGCACACTAAATCTTTCGCCTGCTTGTCGGAAAGATAAATGACCATCCACAACAGCAGCTAATGCATTTTCCATTGCACTTGGATCATAATCCCTCCTTATCTTGCAATTTTTGTTATTTTCAACCTCAACCAAAATTGGTATAATTTAAAGCAACTTTGTTTACATAAGATGTTTGTTGAGGTTATGAACCCACTTTTTTTGTCATTAGAGCCTATTTGTAACTATAATAATAAACCCTGTACAGATGAGACTCTATGGGGTTCAAAAAAAGTCATATTTTAATCAGATTAAAAAAACAAATTAAAGTGTTTGTAAGGCACTTACAACAAATCAATTTATCATAAATAGCACAGGTTATCTGTCTAGACCGCAAAATTCTTTTGCCAATATCAGACAACTGCCAGATGTCAATTTTCGCGCCTAATTTCAAATAGGTAACTTTGTTTCATATAACCCCGGGTCGTGTTTCATAATCCCCCATTCTACGATGAAGATATTCTAACAGTATTATAACAGTAATAATAGTATTATCAGTTTTCAGGTTCAATTAAAAATAATCACATATACTTAAAAAACTGGTGCATATATTTATTCACGAAATCAACAGTACACATAAATAACTTAAAAATATTTCTATCACGAAAACGATATCAATAAAAATATATGGCTGAAAGATGTTATAGAAAGCCGATATTGGCATATCACTATTTTTCAGGTATATACAGAAACAAAATATATAATAAGGTAACAAAATTGTATTTGAAAGAAAATACAGATGATGCACCTTTTGAAAATGAAATCATCCATTGTGGATAAAAATGAAGCACATACAAAATATCAAAGTCAACAATAGCACAGAGGATTCAAGTTCTAAACTTGATGTCATAATTTGTTATTTGTTGAGATGGTATCTAATCAAATATAAGTAAGTACTATGTTGTGCATCACTAAGAATATCATTTGACAAAAACAAAAACAAAGTACGAAAATATAAATGTCCAATACAAGTCGAAATCAAAATATCAATACTAGATCTTTTATTAAAAAAAATATCATAAATTAGTAATTCATCTGCGAGAGGAAAGAATATATTCGAAAATGATAAAATCACAAGTTCACTCAGCCATGCAAAAACAACTTTTTAATTTTGTGATTGTCTTTAGGGTTCCAATTCAAAATGTATACAGGATTATTCATGAAAAGCTTACCCACACGTTTCTCAGATACTGTGAATAAAATTCTGAAATTTGGCATTCATTGAAAATATCAACGAATATAGGCTAGGAAACCAGCCAAGGCATTAAATCTGCTTCTCTGCCGTGTGAAACATCATTTTTTCTCCAAATTCGTCCAATTTCACGCAAACTTCAGATAATCCATCATTTTTTGTTCACCCAACGTCAGTGTCAACTTTGATTACCAATTTGATTCGCATAGCAACAAACTTTTCTTTCAATTTGTCGAAAAAAACTTTTTTAAAGGATTGTATTCAACAGGGTTGGCTTAGAGACGTTCAGACCATATTTTCTTGTTAGTAAGTGTTTTTTAATTTCACCACAAAAATTGAAAACTGTGTGAATTCTTCATAAAAAAGTGCTCTCAATCGAATTTAATAAAATCCACATGGAGTAAACTCCTCTTGAACAGGAATTACATGTTATAAAGCATTCATGAATTTGAAAAGAATAGGTTTGATACGATTCTGATACTAGTAAATGAATTAGCATCAAAACCAACCAGAATAAATAACCACATGAAAAAGATTGAGTCTGCAAAATGTCAAATCGATTTGTTTTTTTCCCTTGATATTTTTTCATATGCATGATTATTAGCATGTTATTTCATGTTCAAATTGATTTGATTATAGAACAGAGCATTTTATCGAAGCCGATTAATCTTCTTAATCTTCTTTTTAATAGAAAAATGTTAGAGCTGCAAAAATAATCAACAAAAAAGTGAGGGCTGAAAAATACACTAAGCCAACTCTGTTTAATATGAATTTTGTATTTCGTCAACAGTAATGAATTCAGCCTAAAAAGTGAGGTAAATATATGAAACTTTTCTTATCTACTGCCAAGGTATTGCTCGCTAGCCATCACAATATTGTATAATTCATTGGAACCCAAGACAAGTACAGGGATATTTTTTGTTTCAAGCACGGCGAACTTGTTTATAAAGAAGGAATATCTAACCTATGGTGGAATCAGTATGGTGTGCTACGACGCATCTTCGGATACGTCACTGCGAGTAAAACAATTGCTAGCAGTCTGAGCTCACAGTTATCAGTTCGCCCGAGTCGACGTGATCATTTTGGTGCGAGTATAGACTCGCAATGACGTAGAAAAGACGAATTCAAGATACCTGAGTAGCATACCATATATATTTCCACCATGATCTAACCTAACGATAATCAGATCAGTCATGACTCCTCAAACTGTTACAACTTTGAGAATCCTTGATGACAGGGACAGACTCTCTACGTGGTTCTTTCACATTGAGTTTGTCCTGCTTAGATGGCACACTTTCTCTTCTCACTGCATGTAAGTGAGATATAAAGGTTGGAGCTGTCTGAGGAACGGTTGAGTGAGGAAGGGATAAGCTGGCGAAATCTTTTTTATTCGCCACTTCCTTGATCGAACTCAGAGTTTTACTAAGCCATGGGGGCCAACTGTTTTTTGCCGTGTTCAATTCTAACTCAGCAGATCTTAGTTGGTGTGTCAAATTCTAGAAATCATGAGTTAGTCTACGGAAATTATGATTATGATACGGAATATTCATATCATATGATATTACTGTGGTTTCAATTAAACAGGATGCCCCAGAATATATGGGCTATCTCCCAGATTCGGATAGATTACATAAAAATAACATGACAAGTTCCTATAAACTTTTTTCTTTTTTGTGCAGAAAAAACGACCAGTGCTGTACCTTCTGAATCATTTGAGGCAACATTTTTTATTTTGGTGGGTAGCCTGTATACCAAATTGCATTTTATCGACATAACATATATAATGGCGTATCCAGGGATGTTTCCAATAGACATATCAAATAAGGTACACCGGGGAAAGTGTAATCACAGTGATATCACAGTTAAAAGAATACACGTGGTGATGTATCAAGATACCAACCCAAGAATTACGGTTCGACTTTGCCGATATTTCTAATATGTCCATTTACGTCGAATACCGAGCTAGCACGTGTTCGTTGTTAGTGTACAGTCGCATTAAAAAGTACAAGTATATTACAGAGAAAAATCAATGTCATCCTATTTTGCATAAGACAGGCTATCGGGAATGATTGCTTACCAAATGTTGACCAGTAAAGTTGTCATAGGTTCTCGAAAACACCAAGCATTGGCTGAGCCAGTTTTACACAACTAGAACTAGGATCCCGAAATCCTCTCTTTTTAATACTTGTACGCTTTTTTATTGAATACGACTTTACGTGAGCTTCAAATATTTGTAGCTCAAAAACAATACTTCTTTATATTTTGAAGGTATGAAGGACGTATATTTTGTTCACATGGAGGAAAACACATAGGGTACCTTTGCCACATGAAAATAACTTATGGGGGAGAGTGTAACCACGAGTAACCTATATTAGGTTCTACTTGCTCATGTTGAATCGTACATTATACTCGTGATCTTCAAATGCAAAGTGAACAAATTTCTTCCAGACATGGTGCGTAACTACGTACGGAAAAATGCGCCACTGGAATACTCCAAGGACAGTCTCAAATCAACTTGCCCCATGGATATGGGGCAAGTGTAACCTGAGTACCGCTATAATAAAAAAAAATGTAGATCAAAGATTTGAGCTTTTATCTTGTTTGACATTTCCAGATCCTTTAAATTATTATCCATCAGTAAGCTGACGTGATTGAAACGAGAATGACTCATTATTATTATTATTATTACATATTTCGACGAGGCTTGAAGAGGGATATAATTACCTCCTACACAACCAATTCTTGGTTCCCAATTACTTCCCTTCAACTGCTTGCTTCCTAAGGTATGTAATTAATTCAATGTGTATGTAGCCATTCTATTCCTCTCATTTCATCCTATATTCTCTCATTTCTCCTACTGAGTAATGTAACTCAATGTTTATATAGCCTTTTTTCTCATTTCAACTTTTCATCTATGAGAAAATGAAGGCGAAGAATTCATTGGTCGTTTTTTTGAGGTTATTTCAATCATATTTTCCAATAATTGCTTCCCACTTAAGATATTTTTTTTCAATTGCATTACCGCCTTCCCCATAAGACGAAACTTGTGCGAGGTTAGGTAAGCATATACAGTGTGTTACAATTTGCTCCACCCCACCCCTGTACTTTAGTATTCCTAGGACGATTTGAGAATTTTTTTCCTCATAATATAATACTCAAAATCATCTACTTTGTCGAACAAAAAAAACTTATCAAAGACAATTCCTTAGCCTGCTGCAATCACAAAAACTCCAGCAAAATTTTTAAAACAATATCTCATATAGGGTGTTTTTTGCCACGTTACAATTTTTGAATATTTGCATTTTACAAGTCACCGTCTATAATAATTCTTTCAAGAATTTGAATAATACCAGACATGATGGTAGTCAGGATTAGATCATCTGGCTACAGGGTGAGAAATTCAGGACAAGAAAAATAAGAGAGTTGGACAAAGAATAATAACCGTTTGGAGAAGGATAGCACCAGAAGAATTGGAGAGAGTTGAAAATAATGTGCAAAAGAAATATGAAAAGTGTACAGAGAATGAAGGAGATTTGATCGAGAATACAAAAATCTCAACTTGTTATATAACAAGTCATATATGAGTATTTGTGACTAGTCCGAATCGATTGCCATTATCAAATTTTTTATAAAAAAAATGTCTAATCCGTTTTCTTCAATTTTGCCGAAGTTTTTGTGATTGCAGTAGGGCGAGAAATTGTATTTGATAATTTTTTTTGCTTGGCAAAGAAGATAATTTGGAGTAGTATATTATGAGAGAGAAAAATCGAATCGCCCTAGAAATACGAAAGTACAGGGGTGGGGTAGACCAAATCGCAACACACTGTATTTACAAATATCCATGGCCTAACTGGGATTCGAACCGATGTCTCGGTGGTAGTCGTCATACGAACTGTGCTCGAACTCGATCACCGAGCTGTCAATATGTAAGTCAATGTGTATAAAGCCATTCTTTTTCTCTCTTTCAATCCTACTCTTTGTTCTCTCTTTTCATCCCATTTTTGTGTGATGAGAGCGAAGTGAAGAATTGATTGGCTATGATTTTCTGTGGGTTTTCAATGTTTTTTCTCAATTGCCTCTCTCCTAGTATTAGGTATCTAAGTCAATCCAGTGCGTCAGGGTAATGGCTACAGGGGGACAATAACTATATAAAAAGGAATTTATATATTTTCAATAGACATAAATGACGACTATAAATATATTTCGACGGTGCTTGTGGGGGGAGGTAATTACCCCCTTTACCCTCCCTGGATCCGCCACTGGAACATACATACACTAGCTGACCCGACAAACGTTCTTTCGCTATACAGGGTGATATTTTGAATACTTCCCACCCTCAATATCTTCCTTCCGTTGAATAATATGAAAAAACGGGAAAACGGGTCAATTTCAGAATCTCAAATGGGAAGGGGGTCAAGTGGCACATCATTTTGAAGGGCATTCAATTCTCTTCATAACGATACATACGGTTCAACATTTTCTGATGAGCAGTTTCCCAAAAATGCCGTGTCAATTAGAAATCTTTCCTGCTCTAATATCTTCCTTCAAGTATACAGTGTGTCCCACTTACCATGCTCACCATGGGTATCTGTTTAACGGTGAGAGATACGAGGTCGGTTAAATGACACCAAATGTGGAGTTTGTGAAGGCCAACTATTATGTGAAAAAATACTTTGATAAAATCTATTCGTTTTTGTTTTATACGCAAAAAACAGATTCTGATCATTTTCATGTCTCCTCCGTAACTTCTTTATTTATGGAAATATTTTAATAGCAATTTCACATTATTATGGCAGTTTTTCAAAGTGATTTCGAGAAAAATATGAAATTCATACCAACTCTTCTAGAATTTGAGATATCAGCACCAACTTTAGTTTTTCAAAAGTAGGTCATAGCTCACTATGACTTAGTTACAAATAACTTTTTTTTCTCTTACAGATGATATGTCGCAGTAATAGTTTTGTGTTGATAACAACGGAGTTATCGTCATTTATACAAAAACAAAAAATTATTTGGAAGCCGCCATCTTGAATTTATAAATTTTAACAAAAAAATCATGATCTCCGACCTCAAAAACCCCCACTTACCAATTTTGAATATAATCGGACCAAATCTTGTCCGCCATCTTGGAGCAGCCATTTTTTTTAATTTCAACAAAAATTCCATAACTCCGATTAACTTGAAATTTGGCAGGTGTTCATAATTTCGGTGACAATATATTATGGAATTTTTGTTGAAATTAAAAAAAATGGCTGCTCCAAGATGGCGGACAAGATTTGGTCCGATTCCATTCAAAATTGGTAAGTGGGGGTTTTTGAGATCGGAGATCATGATTTTTTGTTGAAATTTAAAAATTCAAGATGGCGGCTTCCAAATAACTTCTTGTTTTTGTATAAATGACGATAACTCCGTTGTTATCAACGCAAAACTATTACTGCGACATATCATCTGTAGGAGAAAAAAAGTTATTTGTAACTAAGTCATAGTGTGCTATGACCTACATTTGAAAAACTAAAGTTAGTGCTGATATCTCAAATTCTAGAAGAGTTGGTATAAATTTCATATTTTTTTCGAAATCACTTCGAAAAACTGCCATGAGAATGTGAAATTCTCATTTGAATGTTTTCATAAATAAAGAAGTTACGGAGGAGACATGAAAATGATCAAAATCTTTTTTTGCGTATAAAACAAAAACGAATTGATTTTATCAAAATATTTTTTCACATTATAGTTGGCCTTGACAAACTCCACATTTGGTGTCATTTAACCGACTTCGTATCTCTCACCGTTAAAAAGATACCCATGGTGAGCAAGGTAAGTGGGACACACTGTATAATATGAGGAATCGAAAGGACCAGTCAATTTTATTTTCAAGCGGGGCACTTCAAATCCATATTTTTAGCCTTCATGGTTCAAAATCCTAGGAGGGGTAGATGTTACCTTTAGATCCTCATATGATAAAGGGGGTGAAGATGCACATCATTTTGGAGGGCGTTTAATTCTCTTTCCAACAGTACCCTAGTTTATCATTTTTTGATGAGCAGTTTCCGAAAAATGCCGATCTAAATTTACAGAAGTAAGATGCCTGCATTGAGATGCATGGTTCTCAGGTTAGTATTTGAAAGAAAATTATTGCATGGACTCATCTATTTATAGAAATGGTTAGATGTTAGGCGCGGCATCGTTCCAACCCCTGAATAATAGGAATAAATCTAGTCAACGGGAGTGATTCTTTATTTTTTGATAATTTTACTTTCAACAAAGAAAACTTTCAATTGGCGACACCAAGGGCTGGCTGCAAATGTCAACCCTCATCTGATAACGAAATGATATATGTCCCAAAGGCATGTAGAAACATTGTATTTATCGAACGCTTGAATGGTAGATCTCAAAAAGCTGTGGCACTCCTTAATCTGAGTCAAATCCACGGCGCAGTGATTTATTTGCTGTCATTATTGCGGACATACTTTCGTCATGTGTTGAGGAGTTCAAACAT